ATAAAAATGCTTTTTGAAAAAAATTGAACATGTTTATGATTTCATGGCCGAAAGCGTATTACCTACAGCTTAGTAAATTTCTTCTGCAAAAGCACGGTACAACACCAGTGAGTGTGTACATAGTCTAGGCGAAGAAACTGTCAAAAATAGTAGGTAAAGACTAAGAAATCCGAAGCAGATAGAGTAAAAACGATGTTCCAGTGAAATGGCAACCGTCGCAAAACTTGCATCAAAAATTTATTATTGAGCATCACATTACGAGTCCTTTCCGTTATGTCATCGTAACTCTTGATCAAACATACATGCTGCAATTCCACTGCAAATCAGGAATTTATGTTCGACGTCTCGCTAGTATCTCCTTCCTAGTCGCTCTATGATTCTGGCAACTAACTTCGATTGTTCGCGAACATGCCGTCTTAAACAAACGTAACCCCCATGCTATAACCAACGAAATCCAGATTCACTGTAATTGCACCTGATATTAACATGTATTCTTCATGGGATTCAGCCGAACGGTTACCACACGTCTGGCAAAGCACTTGACGGTCGTTTCATCCTTCTGGAATCGTCGGTAAATCACATCATACTAGCGGGCTTGTGTGGGATAAGAATCCAATGAGGGGACAGACTTTATACGGGTGTTAGGAAGCATTGCTTTACAAGTTCCGTTTGGTGAGGTTATAGAAAAAGTTGACAACAAACAGTTAATACTTAAGTAGCAAAAGGATTTATCGTTTGTTGTGCTGTAGTTCTACACTCCACGCGGCTTCACCTCACCAACAAGTGACAGCTAATAAATTCCAGGGGTAGAATGGACAGATAGTGTCGAAGTAGACGTAGCATACTGTGGCCCGATCTCTCGGTATAAAACTGCCGTAGAGAAAACAGGACAGCCCACCCTGAGCATGCAACCTATGAGATGACAGTCTGGGTAGAGCGCCGAATACAAGAAAAGAGTGCGACACCGTATAAGCGCAGTATTCTGCTAACTCTACGTTCAATGTATACTTAGATATGCCCAAACTGAGCATCGATTAGATACCAAACTGGAAATTGTCCAGGAATAAAAATGTGTTCATTTCGAAATTGATCCTGAAAGTTGCTCTAACTTTCTAATGTGATAGCGGTAGTGTTGGAAATCGATGATAATTAACGAATTGCCACACAATATGTGCAGTCACGCGAGAAATTGCAAATGCCTATGGAACATAATATCGCCCCGTGGGTAAGGAAGGTTTCTCGAGAATTAAACATGACAGCTGACCGAGGAAACCAGACTCAATGCCATCGAGTAAACAGGAGAAACCGTTGAGATAGATATGGAACCATGGCCCCAAGCCCAATTGGTGGGGCATCGGGCTCGAGAGTACTGTAGTTGCTACCGAGGACAGAGACAGTTTGTGGGATGTGATCTAGAGATGGCTACCAGGAATATAACGTTGACAAGATGGGGGAGCATGGTGAACTGCCCTAACCCTTGAACACTTGGGAAAACCCATCTCATGAAACAGGAAAAATACACCGATTAAAAACTCGCCAATTAATCTGGGAGAGTGCATTAGGTCGACGTAGTGCCAGTACAGAGGGAACATAAGCCATACTTCCTGCCCGGCATTTCGTACCAAGGAGTCTCGAGCACGTATGAAATGCCGGACGGAATGCGCACTATTAGTGAACATCGAAAGGAGAAGATAGTCGTCTAGCACTTCTAAGACTGTCTAAGCGTGTGCAACTGTGGCGGATGTTCTCCGAAACTTAATCGAAATCTGTCCTTTCACTAATCTCCAAAACGGTCAGTGAATCGATAAGTATGGCACAACTGGGTTCCTAAATCACGCAAACTAGTAAAACGTATACACCATTTCGATTTGTAAATCGACAGCGGTATCTGAAAGTGCCTCAAGAATACCAACCTAAGTATCACTGTTGCATTTGTTTGAGTGATTGCAAATCTTAATTAATTGTACATTCTCAATGAGTTTTGCGGCAAGCTGATTCCTGCTCTCTCCGGTCTCTTCTCCATTCCATGTAGAGCCTCGCAATACATTTTGGTACTGGCCATTCTTACTGTATTTTTGGCAATCGACAAGCTTCGTAAGTCATCGAGTGTGACCAGTATCCGAGTAGCATACCACACCCGTGTCGTGAAGCCCTCCGAGGGGTGAAAAGCGAGAAATCTTTTACACGATGCAAAATGTGGATTTGCTATTTACATGTGACTGCTTCTTACTGGTCATTGTAATTATCGTGTCTTGTGCCGTTCATGTGGCGAAGAACCGACCTCAGTGGTGTTTGTGTTGTGAGTCGCTTTGTCCCTCCCCTATCCTTTAGGTTTCCCCTCCAACAACAATCACAAACTCTATGCATAATGTGATATTTAGCAGTAGATGACGTTTTATAATTGTTTAGTCTGTATTGTTTAATCTCTTATTATTTTCATAGTGCAGCATATTAGCAGAGGTGTTTCTCTCACTCTCGGCTAACGTGTATTGATGATGGTGACTGCGTTCATGTTCATTGATCAGCAAGCGTTGCTTAGTTCAGCCCATTCCGCAGATAGCTACGGCCACGTTCAATTTCACTCATGCTTGCCTGTGCCAATTCTCGACTCCCCGTCTGCTCAGCGTGATTATGGTGGACGCTTGGAAGTGGAACACTTTACTCGTCTTCTCTTCACTGCTCACTCATTGCCATCATTTTCTCCGTCTGTCGACCGTCACTGCATCTCATGTCATTAGCGTGGAATCCACTATATGAAAATTCCGTTTCCTAGAGGTTATTTGAACTAATCTGCTTCACCCTTGTCCGTGACCAAGCTGCACTTCACTATAGCCTGAGCCAATTGTGAGTTGTTTGTTTGGTTCTTTTGACTGTGGTCAGCTTGCGTCGGTGACATATGCCGTATCGGTCACGTTTGCTTAAACGACTAGATACCAACACACCCCGTTGTGAAAGAACGATTGCATTGTGCTTTGTGCGTGGTTCAACAGCGATACTGGAAGCAATCTGATCATCCTGAATTCTAAACGCTTCACAGTGATTAGTCCTCATCATGAGAGATGCATCGGGCTTCAAGGAGAAATACACATGTAATAAGGCGAGACGGGCGTTTTGTGCTCTTCCGGACACGGGTGGCGGTACGATGGATTTAACCGGAGATGAAACTCTCCAAACCACTGTATCACACACACAAATGCTATTATCGGGGAAAATACGTGCTACGCTCATTCGACAAAACAGTTTCCACACCAAACGTGCATAATCGATGTGACCATAAGGAGGGGTAGTAAGTGAGCCGAGCCAAGGTAAACAGAGCAACGAGTCGAAACAGTTAGACGGACGAAGCAAGGAAATCCTGAGTGACACCCGTACGACAGCATCCCACCAGGTTGCGAAGCTGCAGTGTTGCTTAAATCATGAGGGAATCTCGCTCGTTTCAATTCACAAACTATAGTCCGAACATCTATTTATCGGTCCTAACGTCGTTAGGACACTAGGAGTTGACAATAGTAAAGGGAGTGAAAAAAGAGTCAGAAAAACGATGCCAGAGACTTCAGACAGGGATACAATGTAAGAGTACCGAAGACTGTTTGTTGATAACTAGCCAGGTGGATACCCTAACCGCGGACGAGATCGATGCCGCGACTCACAAAAAGGAAGCACCAAGGTTAAGCACTCTTTTTGTGAAATCCCTCACGTCAATTGCCTGTTCATCGTTTGGCCAATAAATACTTGCAACAATGAGACGCAATTCCGTCAAACTATGGGCATCGAGGTAGACGGCTGATAGGGTTCTAAGGAATGTTACCCAGCTAGCCTGGGCCGCTCAAGTTTTCCAGACAGGCCGATGCAAAATCGAGAATCCCAGAGAGGACAATTAGGAAGCAGATCTCGGGGGTGGGGGTTTCTCTGATACCACTAGGCATCAGATACTACTCAGATGAACAGCAAACATGTCACAGCCGAGTGTAACATTGAGAAATGAGATATACAATGCAAGAGGTCCAACAACTTCTCGATCGCACAGTGTGAAGTGAAATGTTTAACCAATGGCAAAGCCGATACCACGACGTGACGCAATCGTTTTGTAGAGTTTTTCCTGTCTGTTAACAGTTCATAGTCCGGTACCTCATACAACGGAGCGGCGTAGTTTCCCTAAAAGCATGGATGAGGCCTGGCAGGTGTGTCAGCCAGCTCAGACCGGACAGGTTTGCCCGACGATCCAGTGTAACGTCAAGAAGCTTAGCAGTGACGATTGGGAAACAACCAGACATGAGATAGTGAACGAAGAATACCACAACGGTGTAGTCAATGTGATTGTTCGAGATCAGAACAAGCACGGAAGTGAGCAGTGGAATCTCGAAACCGTTAGTTCTATCAGTTCAATAAGCGCAGTATCGTGTCCATATGGGACACGAACACCGTGTGTGTGTGTGTAGCGCAACGCCCCTCCTCTAAGTGGTTACTACTGTGAGGCAAATGAGAGCCACACCAACAACAACAAAAACATAGTGGCCATGATGTGGTGCAAACAAAATAGTACAAAAAAGCACCATTTCGTTTGGTACAAATGCGACACCACAGCAGTGGGTGAGAGAGAGAGAGGATAAAAAGAAGGGTATGTACAAAGGAGGACACGAATTGAGATACCGCATCACAGTAAAAATTCACCGAATCTGTGTGTGTGTGTGCACGACCAGGTATGAACAAGGGAAAAATCATGGGATCGGTGAGCACCAGTCAATGTGCATTGGACGACTTCGACGGTTGGTGCGTCCCACAGAGGCAGAGTGATTGTGTAAACAGACAAAAGAAGAAACGACTGATAGCCTAAAGTAGAGGGGGCCAAGGAGAAGATTAATCGTCCTGTAGAAAACAATAATGGCCATTCCGATTGTACAAAGATTAAGGAAGGAAAAGATACTCTATAAATGCCGTCAAAGACACACAAATAAATAAAGTAGATGAAAATGCAAATGAGGAAATAGACAAGTATGTGATCAGCTGCTGAACGATGATGTGCATCGAGTGAAATCAACCGTGGGCACCATGGGGAGGGAGAAAAAGTGGCGATCCGAGGAGTCGAGCAAGCCACCGCCATTATCCAGATAGGAGAGACACTCAAAAAGTGTGGGGGATGATTCCAGGTCGGAAAAGGCCAAGTCACAAATCAGTTCCTCCCACTTCGCCACATACCTAAAAGGTGTAGGAAAAAAGACTGTGAGCACAAATGTTCCCGAAAGAAATCACAGGCAAAAGGCAGTATCTGAGATAGCAAGGCCATACTGAAACTACAGAGTCCAACGTGAATGGTGTAGACAGAACCGATCGGTGACCAAAACCTTTACAATCTGTACAGACCCAAAAGCAATGGGTAACTCGTGACAAAAGTCGCCGAAAACTAGCATCGAGAAGCAGAGTTACCAGTACAACACAGTATGATTAGTCCACCAAGTGACTGGATTGGCAAGCAAAGCGGCAGATAAAGAGCCTCTCAGAAAAAACGACGTGAGCAAACGATCCAAAAATGAAGTACTAAACATGTAACTTTTTCTTATGGTAACAGAGCAGGGTTAATACCTACCAACGAAGACAACTTCACATAGTTGGTAGTTTATGGAGAGAATAAGAGGAAAGAAAGAGCGAAACTTCAAGGTTGTTTTCCGCAGAATCGCCAATAAAAGAGAGGCAAATCGCAAATACAGCTTTCGGAGGGATTGCTAAACAGAAGAAGCGATGGATGCAACAGCGAAAAGTAACTTGGCTAAACACAGTAACCAGTAAAGGGATGGATGATTAGCAATAAGTGCGATCCAAGTAAGACAAATTAAGTGGACGAAAAAAGTGGTGCGACATATGCAAACTCACCGACGAGCAGTGGGGCTGTAGCGGACGAGGTTCTTTAGTACCAAAGCGGCAGTCAAACGGATGTGTTTGGTGACTGGACCTTCGCGTGTTGGAGGCGAAACAAAGGGATGATTAGGGGCACTGTTGGCCAGTGCTCTTCGACACTCACTGGATAATTTCACAGTACACGACGATGAGGAAGGGAGCGCAACCCCTACAGGGGAGGTTGTCGAAGGAGGGTACGCACCTCCGGGTAGAACCGGATCGACGGGGGTAGGGTCTAGGGGAGCCGAAAGCAGGGGTGACTGACTTGAGTCCTCTAAGGTAGGCTCCGATGACCCACTCAGTTCATTCACAAGAGGAGAGTCAGCTGTGGACGGTAGGGAGCTGGCAGACGTAGAAACGCAGCTAGGATCTGCTAGTATACAATCCGCTTGCAATAGATCTGAAAGAGAGCTAGGCCGTCTCTCAGTGCTAGTGGCACAAGTAAGGTTAGAATTGGAAGAACAGAGATGAGACGATCCGTCCGATTGGGGTAAATGTCTGGTTAGAATGTGAACTGCTAGAGTGTCAACGGAACAATTCGTTAGGAGCTCAGAGCAGTCCATCCATGAGCAGGAGACCTGGGAGCAAATAGGAAAGGACGGAACAGAAAGGGAATGCTGTAGTTAGGACACACAAAGGCACAGGTACTTCATACAGAGATCTAGATGATACTTGTAAGTCAAGGGGGTGGGTTGTTGTTGGTGGTAGCCTTGAAGAGAGGTATCCAATGGCCAGATGATGAAACACAAAAGCAATGGGACTACTCGTAACAAGACAGGAAGCATTCAGGAGAAAAATCCATTAGTATTTCTCTTCAATGGTCTCCAAAGCAGACCTGCTGAGTCCCCGCGCTAATCTGAGTTGTAATGGCATGTGTCTAGGTACCGAATAATAAATATATGGAAAAAAATTGATCTCACAGACACAGAGGATGAATATAGCTGGAAGATCGCCAAGCGCACTAACGAACGCCCAAGAAGAGTGTCAAGGAACAACGGGGTTCCGACTGAACATATATGCGCAGTTAGACAGAAAAATCCTGGATAATGAAAACGAACGAACAAAAGGAAGGGCAGAGGAGACAACAACGAACGTTTGTGCGACGGAATTAGGAGCAATAAACGAAATGCAACTCTTAGTTGAATAATGTCATTAAGGCGCATGAAATCGTATCCGCTCGGCTGACTTGAACTACGATGGGCCAAGCACCGAAACGTGGTGGATAACGTAGCATTGATTCGTGTCGCGCGAAGATGAGTACTCAATTGGAAAAGGAACCCAACTTAGAATCAGGGTAAAATGGTTACGGCAAAGGTGGGTAAAAGTATTCAGGCTGGGATGATAAGAGATAGATTCGATAAACTGAATTCAAAAGCGTCACTGACACCGCAACTGCGCCATATCATTTCACGCCTTCCGTGAGGGACTTAGGTGAACTCTCGCGTCGCAATTTGAACTCCGTTGACAACACGAACAGGCCTATTTCGTAACGGACTGCGCATTCTTCGGGCGCTCGAATGTAGCACCTGTACTGGGTCTGAAGAGGTCGCCACTCGCCACTTTTCTTCCATCATCAGACCAATGATAGATTATTGCTCACTCGCATACCATCCAATCACCGGAGACGAGGCAGAGAAGATCGATGAGGTCCAATACGTAGCTACCAGGCTCACTACTGGTTTACGAAGATTACCGGACGAAGATCGGATGGAGAAACTAAGACTCTACAACTTTGTTCTGTCGTCGAGTGCGAGTCGACTTCATGGTGACCTACCGCATAGTACATCTCGGTGGCTTCCCATGTTGAGACCGCTGCGTCTCTTGTGAAAGGTAGGCAACACACTTGGACACAGATACAAGCGTGTGCTCCCGATTACGAAACGAGTTCCCCACCCCGTGCTTCGAACGGAGAGCGGTAAATGCTTGGGACAGACTGTTAGAACAAGTTGCGGAGGCCAGTTCAAAACGTTGTTGGATTTACATTTTACCAATATTCGATTCAGAGAACGATTGCACACTAGCAATGACATTTCACACATGTGAGTCCAGTGATACTGTAAGCCAGACAAAAGAAGATAGTTTTTGCAATATAGTTGATCATATTCTGATGGAGTTGTACAGATTTAAATCTCTGCTTGCACCCGCAACACAGCGTATAGTATAAGGACTCCGAGTCTCGACGTGGCCTATCTCAAGACTCCATTCCCGAAGATAGCACATGGTAAAATGTCAATTTTTCATGTCTTCATGTCACGTCTCTGATTGGCCACCTCGCGGTTTTTCTCAACTGGGTGAAGTGATAGCGGATAATAAACACCGAGGAATGTAACTAACGTTCATGAGGAGAATAGGGTTACTTTCCCGACACCAGCTGTCCACCCGATGCTCAAACCAGACAAAAACACTAGGGCAGCGTTGATGACGAACCCGTTGTCTTCAGTCAGTGTGAATCGGCTACGTCTCTGGTTTATGCATCCAACTGATGACTGACAGGCTGATATCCCAAGACCCCCCATGGACAATTCGAGATTTAAAAAGCTACACGAACCTCGCTGATAGGTGAAGTAAGGGTGAAGTGATAACTAGAGCTGACATAATTACCAAGGTAAGTGAACCGATCCACCACTTCCAGTGGCTGTTTGGTGATAGCTAAAACTGACGGTGTGACGGTCCAGTTCTAGCACAGTATTTGTATATTCGGTGCAAAGCACGTGCCAACACGTGGCGCAACCTGTCTGTCTGTCCAGTAGCATTCGCATAGCTAATAGAGCGGACCCAATGTGAGCTATCTCGTCCGCATACTCCAGGTTTGTCAGTCGATCACCTGGCGGAACTTCCACGCCGCTAGTGCCAACTAAAACCGAGTCATTCACGATTCATTCGATCACAAAGTCGAAGAGGAAAGGAGATATAGGACAACTTTGGCGAACGCTAATTGCCGTGTGGAACTCAGGGTACATCCATCTCACAGAGCTTTACTAGGAGCTGAAAGTGCCCGTAAAGACTCAGGCATAGAAAATAGGTTCTCCAGCATGCCTTTCGGTGCCACAAGTTGGGATCGAATGTGACTTCCAGGCCAAAAAAGCCATTGAGGTAGGTGCATGCTGTCTCTACAGCGCCTGGCGAAGTGCAAATAGGTGAGAAAGGTGAAATCTTGCCTAACTCTCACAAAGATCAGTGAGTCATCGTATAATGATACCTGTGAGAAATTTGGATGTAACCGAAGTAAGGCCACCGTCCTCGAGACAGCCGCACAAAGCTCCGTGATCCTGCTTAAATATGGGGATGATGGATGACAACCGCCAGTCTGAACCTACCTTGTCACCGCCTTACATGCTCTTGAATAAGATAAATAAACTATCAACAGGTCTCCAATGACTTTCATCAACGACGAGATAAAGTCACCGGGGTCAAACTTTGGTGTCGTCGCAACAAAGCCTGCTTCTAGTATGAAACGGCAGATTTAGGCGTCGAGGTATCTAAATGTGTGACTGGATTGATTGCGTCCGTGTCCAGATTTGTCTATCACTGTGGCCTCCATGGGGACAGCCACAGGACGCCTGCGTCTACAGAGGGAACATGTGTGGGTTGCACTGCACCACCCACAGCTGTAGCCACACACCCCATATCCAGTGTAAACCCGAAGGAATAAGACAGGAGGCGTGTGGATGAGAACCAAGCTTTAACAACGCAGCCGGCCCACACTCTTTCAACATGCACAGCAGCATTCTTGTCTATATAAGTGGAGAATCATGCGTAACACGCATACACAAGGCAGTGGCTGGACCGTAGGCGGTTCCACACTGGATGCATAGAAGCACTCTTTGAACCTAGCACAGTCACGCGAACGGTGCACCCCATCCTCGCAGCAATGATTAACAGTTTCCCGGCACCTGTGGGATCGAGGTGGAGATTGACAGACAGGTGTCAAGATTCACATTAAGCGCAGCTAGGTATTGCATATCACACGGGAGATTTTATGAGTCAAGCGCACGTCGGACAGACAGACAGTCGCGTTTAGCCTGATGAGACGACAAAGCACATAGTATGCTTATCAGCCTCGATCTTACTAATGTGTGATACCAGGATGGCAATAACCAGGGCAGGAAATAACAAATAGACGTACAGTTTTCGTGGTAGTAATTTCATCCATGAGTAAGTAGCGATCAAATCACTGCCTTAATGTAAATGAGTCCCCTGGATTAAAACAATGAATGACTAGGTGACATGAACCCCGCAAGGGTCAGAGACCCACACAACATGAGCGTACCACATCGCAATGTACACTATAGTTAGAACGTTTGAACCTCGATCTGTGAAGCCTGGGCCATGAGCATGCAAACCTATTAGCCAATGGATGATATGCGTATCTCCTGGAATAGTACAGTCGGGTCAACGCTGGGTGTGGGATATGTATAAGAGGACACCGTGTAAAAGTGCTCCGTGACCGTTTGTAATCAAAGTGACTGGAAATGTGCTGCACAATTTCGATTCGGATGGACTAATTGTTCGCTTCGTGCTGTTTCTCATGTGGATGGACCAGGGCCCCGCGAATCCCAACCCATGAATGGATGAGACCACAGACCAAGAGAACAACCTCACTAGCGAGATGAAGATGAACGCTACAGCAGAAGTGAATCACAGATAGAAGACGGGTGTTAGGTCGGACTAGCTGAATTGCTTCATACGAAGGTGGACATAGGTTTTACACCTCCCCATGTATATCACGATTCAGCCAATTACAAAATGCACACGTCCTTGGCGTAGAGGAGTGTTAGTGCGACCAAGTGAGTTGGTACACAAAAGCAGGGCACACAGTGCAAGGTGAGCGCGGCTAGACCGGCCTCGTGGGGATAACTGAGTCTCCAACTCCACAGCAAGAATGCTGTCGATTAGGACTGGCCACTAATCAGTAGATATGATATGAGAAACACAAAAGATGGGGACACGTGACTCTGGTGAAGAAATGCAGTGGAAAATATAGATGAGCAGTGAACATACCTCTTCCGAGTTTGACTTCGTTATATGGGTGTCCATAACATGGGCTATAACATCGTCAATCCGTTGGAATGTTCTGCCACATGCATTCCACTGGCAAATCAAAAAAGAGGGGGAGGGTGTTGTGACCATCTGAAGGTCAGAGGAAGTCTCAGCCGAGGAGGGGCGAGGTGCAGGGTCGATAGGGCAGCCTAGATCCAACTGGCTGTTGTCGGGGACGCATTTGATCGACTCGGCGCTGTTAAGAACGGAGGAAGGGCTGCAATGGTTAGCAACAGCCATAGTGCAGCTTCCCGGAGTGTATGAATCGCGTAAGATGGGGCTCGGTGACGATACGATTAAGTTGCATGTCTCGGTGAGCACCTTGGAATCCGGTGTTGGACTGCTTCTGTTTGCAATGCTAGTGGCGGCATGAAGATTAAATGCTGTGAAGACAGGCAGAAGGACGATACCGGTTTCGCTAGAGACAAGTTCGTTTAGTCTGGGACAATGGGATGACGAGGTTTTGTATTTGATTGGATCGCCGGAAGTGTCAGGGGACGAAAGTCGAGGACCATTGGTTATGGACTGCAACCCACCAGCCAACGAAGTGGAGTGATTTAGAATATGAATGACCTCTTTATGCAGACCATTCACTGGAAGTAATTTGCGACCGTTATTTGTGTCGGTTGCTGACTCCAAGTGGCCGTTGACTATATGCGCAGGAAGTAGTCGAGCGAGTTTCAGGGGAATCGGTGGCTCTGATTCGGCCACAGTGGCGCCCAGAGGACTGCCAGGTGTGGAAGCTGGATGCAAAGGACCAATGGCGCGTTTTGGGAGCTGAGGAGGATACAAGAATATGAGCAGACCTATGTATATGGGATTATGAGGGAGGAAATATCGACAGCAGTAGATTACGCGACGGTATGTGGACAAAGGGAGAAGTCGGGTCATACCAGGGGTGTCGATGCAGTTCAGCGAGACAGGCATATCGTTCATGCGCACCCAAAAACTATGTGAGTGAAGACAAGATGGGCTACCTGACAGACATAGGATTGAGCCGGAACGCTTACTCCCCCTTTGAAAAATGGATGCTTTAAAGAACAGACGTTTAGCGAATGACGGCTGTCTGAGTGTGTCTAAATGTGACGAATTTCGACCAATACCATTCAACTCCCCCTAGTACTCCTCTGCAATTCGTACGCAGACCAAACTGCTTATAATGCCAAAGTTGAATAGCGGTTTAAGTTTGGTAAGCTCGTCGCTTGGTGAGGGGGCTACCCTCTCCTCTGCACGGCAGTAACGTGTAAGTCAGTGGATAGTGATCGGTGCTATATCACATCTAGCAACTTATTTACGATGGTCGCTGCCGTCCCCCGTAGCTCAGTGGTCTCAACCACGGACTGGCAACAGTCGAGTTGCGGGTTCGAGCACTACCAGGGTCCGATGGAATGCGCACTGCTGACGATTCCCGAAAGGATGAAACGCGCGTACAGTGTTTTTCCGGGTGTGTGACGGCTGTCTGAGTGAGTCTAGATGTGATGAATTTGTACCTATACCAAATGATATTTGTAGGTTTTGAAAGCCTTTTTCGACACACACGCATGTTTCAATAAGTGATGATGCAGCACTCACGGATGAGGAGGATTTTTAAAAGTTCGATTTTGGCATGGATTTTATGAATTGCGTGGCAGGTTAGCCATAGACTGCCTGGTCAGGGCTATTTGGTAATCGGATTGTTCTGAAGACCTGAAGTTGGAAGTTTATCACATTCCCAGATCACAGTCAGCGTAAATTATGAATGAACGGTTGCCTACGCAAAAAAATGTGGTAGCGCGATTGCACATAGTCTGACAAGCATTTGCGCCGCGTTCCGACAGTTAAAGTTTGGAAATTACGACGGGTAACAGAAAGCATGCTGTTGCATAGGAAGCTCGAGAGATTGTCCATTAAAACAAAAGTATGAGGATCTCGGTACTTAGAGAGAAGTGCAGCGCAATATATTCCCGGTTGCTTCATGAAGACCACGGAAATGCGTTTACACATCAGAGGTTATGGGAATACGATCTCCATATCAGCCTATCAATTGGTGGATTCCGTAGAAATAGTCAAACTTTACTCGTACTTGAGCCATAGTACTTAGCTGTGATGAAACCTTGGCGCCATTTCCTGTACCAGAGAAGAGATGAGGTTAGCTGAGAACATTTTCGGCCTATTGTCTAGGGGTATGATACTCGGATAGTCGGCCCGTGACCGAAAGCAAGAAGCTTATCTGCCTTGCGACCTGAAGGTCGCGGGTTCGAGTCTGCGCAGAGGACTGGGCAATCTTGGCAGTATCCTTAGCCTATGCGCGGCTGGTGATGGTTGAACTGAAGTGAAGCGTCGGCACGGCGTACTACTGATTCATTGTCGGCCTGTGGCCTTATGGATCACAAGCCTGCCTTGTAATCCGGAGGTAACTGGTTCGAGCCTATGTAGGGGACCGAGCGACCCACGTAGTATTCTCCGCCTACTCGCAACTGGTGGTGTCTGCGGGGCAGTGAAGTGTTCGTACTGCTGATGTCTGCTTGAAAAGAGCAAAACAAGACTGCTAAAATGAAGCACAATTAACCTATCGGAAACAAGCAAAGAGAAGAAGCGGCCTTTACGACGTAAACTGGTAAAGACAGCGAAACTAAAAAGGTGAAAACAACAGTGGGCACTTCTAGTAAAACCTCGAAGTACATTATGCACCCTTAGAGATGTTGGTTACCCGAATAAAAACAAAGGACGATTCGTATGTGAGTGGAAAAAGCGTATCGAGACGGGTTGTAAAGAGCTGAGACTGACCTTGACCTTGGGAGCGCGTACGGAAGGCAATTCATTCTTTGAAGGACTAAGGACAGCAGCCATGATATCGTTAACACCTGAAAGAGCGGTAGATGGTAGACCGGAGGTGAAAAGTCACACTTACCTTTCTCGCTATTGGGCTGCGGCGAATGGATGCATCGTAGGTTGTTGTAGTGTATCTCCACATTCCCGTGAGTAGTTTGCACTTTCACTTGCTCGACTCCGGGAAAAATGGATCTACGACGGAAAATGAGAGAGATCGTTTGAAGGCTGAGATAAGCCTGAGATTCGCGAAAGATGAGGTGAACACCAGTGAAAATTAGGAATTGAAATGACTAAGTTACCTATGACCTTATATAAGAGTGAACTGACCTAGTGATGGTTCGACAACTCGCATGGTCGTGACATATCAGAACTCAAAGGTGGCGGGGTGTCACAATGGATGCGGGTGCGCGATGTGTCACGCTGGTCGTCCCGATTGAGAACAAACGTCTTTTTAGATCCATTCATGAGTCATTTTGGGATAATGTAAGTTGGTTCCCTTAACATTGATCGAAAATCAACACTTCCGATCAGTCAACAGAAACAGATCTTCCTAAAGTGCCGCATATGGCTACACAAGTCTCTCTGACTAAGAGAAGTTAGAGAGAGAGAAAGAGAGAGAGAGGGAGAGAAAAGCGGCATTTGACCGAATACCGACGGAGCTTGGCGCAGAAGGTTTCAGCCACGCACAAAAACCCAATTGATCAATTACCGTACTGCTTATGAGAGGTCTTGTATTTCCTGAGAAAGTGTCGTTTTCATGAAATAAAAGGTGCATTCGATTCAGTGGATTGAAGAAGAAAGGTGTGCCCGAAAAATACGTAAACAGCGGAAATCACTTCAGGGTAAATAATTCTTTTCGGTAAACTCTCATCAGACCCAAACGTTTACATAGCACTGATTGTGGGGAAAGCGTCAACTCGGGCTGTTATTGATTGCTGGGCTGTTTGAACGATCAAAATCGATAACTTGTGAGAGTGATATAAACGGTAAGCCAAGTGAACTAAGTAAACATGCATACACAAAGATCAGTAGTACGAAGTAATTAGTTAGGTAAGGTAACAACCAAAGAACTAACAGTGTCAGTCGGCCAAGGTAGTAATATCGGCCGTATGAATCGTTTTTGTACACATAATTCCGGCTTCAGATGGTGGATGTAGATGGCCTCGGTGATGAATAAGAGTTGCTCGCTGAATCCTTCAGAGAAGTGTTCAGGTAGTGAGTAAATGACTTTGAAGTCATTCTCGGAAGCTTGATGGCCACATTCAAGAAGGCGCGACATGATTGCGCTGTTTGAGGACCTTATTTCGCCTTTGTAAAACCATGCCAAGATGTGCTCACGAATCCCCTGATAAGCGCCTCGTAGTGCAACCCACTTATCATGCACCACAGGAGCAGTACTGGCAAACAATCATTGAACGGGTCAACGAGGGCAGTCTATCTTTCAACGGCTTGTTGTGATAAACAAATCTCATGTGGGCCACGAAATAAGTTTTCTCAACAGCATCTTTCAGGTGTCGAGATAACATATCAGCTGCAGAACCGACCTAAATGGTATATATATGAAAAGCTCTTTCTTAGGAGCAATGTTTCTAGGTGTCTTCCGATTGCGTTCCTTCAAATGCTTCACTTGGCTTACCATGTATAGCCCAATATCAAGTTATCGATTTTGATCGTTCACACTACCTAGAAGTGAATCCCAGCCCTAGTTGACACTTTCCCCACAATCAGTGCTATATAAACGTTTGGGTCTGAGGAAAGTTTACCGAAAAGAAATCTTTACCATGAAGTGATTTCTGATTTTGAGTTATATTAATGAAATGGGGATATTTGCTTTGCTGCAGACCAGCATTGCCCGCGATTCATTGAAATACGTAAACATTATCAAAGCGCTGTACGCGCTTAGTTCGGGCAGAGTGAGGGTTTATGTCAAACTGTCGCCGCCCTTCAGTATCTCCAGCGGTGTGAGACAAGGTTGCCCGTTGTCATCTTTCCTCTTCAACTTCGAAGTTGACGAAGTCATGGAAACAGCATTCGCTGGACACGGCCTAGAAGGTGTGGAGCTACTTCCTGGTGAGCAACTTCTTGACTTGAAGTATGCGGACTATATTGCCCTAATCTGTGACAGGCCCCAATATGTTAAGCAGCAGTGGACCGATTAGCATTGACTGTCTATCATTTTGGGCTGTGCTTTGCTACATCGAAATGTAAAGTCCTTCTCCAAGATTGGCGGGGACCCACTCCTACGCTGACTCTCGGTTGTGATCCGCTAGAAGTCGCTCAGGAATTCAAGTATCTGGGCAGCTATATTAGCGACAGTGGGATCGATTAGGAGATCACAAACCATATAACCGAAGCTCGGGGTGCGTTTGCCAATCTCCGCCAATTGTGGCGCAGACGCGATATTACTCTCGCCCTGAAGGGCAGAGTTTACAACGCAGCCGTCCGTTCAACTCTCCTATATGGCTGTGAAACCTGGCCCATCAAATCGACAGATATAAAGTGGCTATTCACGTTCGATCATCGCTGCTTTTGCAGCCAAGCTCATGTCTGGGGGGAGCGCCACGTGAGCTATGAGCGTGTTCGGCGTCGCATAGTTGGTGCAGGAAGTGCGAGTGAACCGCTCAGCCCCAATATTTCACGCAGCATGCTTCGATAGCTAGACCGTGTTGCGCATCCCGGCACACCGACTTCTGCGACGTGCATTGTTTGCGAGCCGGGGGTGCGGTTGGGAGTGGAGGAGGGGAGGCCAAGCGATGACTCGGTCAAGAGGAATGAAAACTCTCACTTCGAAATTGGCGTCGGTTGGTGCATCCTGACTGCCTGGCTGAGGTCCTAAGAACGATGAACACGTTTGGTTGGATACACTTGTTGGTATGGCGAACAGCCCACCCCAATGACGTTCGTGTTGTAAGTTTCTGTGTCCATCCCTTATCATTTAGATTCCCCCTCCAATCACCACCTCACATCTAATATGAGGTATAATATTCAGCATTGTATTACCCACTTTTGAACTTTATTGTGCAGTGTTCTCTTTGTATTGTGGCACATTAGCTGAGGCGTGTTTCTCACTCTCAGCTAACGTGTATTGATGATGATGAGAAAATTCAGTTCAAAAGTGCGACCGACAGTGGGAGCAATTGTGCCTTCGAAAGAGTGGCCGGGGCTTTTTCGATCGTACTGAACGGCTAGATTGGTCGCAATAACGGTACACCAAGGTGGAGCTACGGCAAGTCAGTCATTCTACACGTGGTGACAAAGAGATAGAGAGAAAACGTGATCGGTTCGTCGATCTTTACGGCAGCGTCAACAGCAATGGCCGAGTGATCGTGGAGACTAGAGCTGCCTTTAGCGCAAGGAGTGGAATACCACTGGTAGTAAAGGGGCCTACACAGATTGGTCTAGTTCGTCAAATCAGTAAATAAAGCTGAACAAGTTGGCGTTGTGGCTTACTGTATTTTTCAACGGATCTAGGATGACGACGATACGCGGAAGGTAATCGTAGAGCTAGTAGCAGAAAATGAACTCGCTGACAAGGAAACTGCATGTAACTGATCTACATAGACCGAGGCAGAGTGTTTGCTTAAGGAAGCAGAGTTAAATGCGAGTTCCCCATTATCCCATCAGTATAACCATTATGGTCGCATAGCAATGATGTACTAACGCTGTTGAGGACAATGAGGTGTCAGGGTCTATTTGGTCTGGCGTCAAGTGGTCTTCAAAGCAGTAGGACAACCGTAGTGCCATCACATGCTCAATGAGAATGCGAGATTGGTGCTAGTTTGAGACAACCACGAGAAATAATGAAGTGATACCAGGGTGTACATGGAAAAAGTAGATCGCTAAACTATAGTAGAGCCGGAAAACAACACCGTTAGAAGAACGGCTGGTTACTCACACACACACGCACACCAGCGGCAGACTGACTGGGACAATAGAAAGTATTGCACATCTCGAATGCCGCCGGTTTGACTTACTTAATCTCCGAGTGAAAGTCGACTGGAGAAACAGCATTGCCACAGCTAGACCCGAAGCGGCGTTGGTGTGCGTGTTGGTAGTCGTTGTAGATTTGCACACGGGGCACACTGGAATGATTGTGCACAGCGTAATTCCGCTTTAACCAATCAAACATATAGGCTCGACGCACCGAGCCGGGAACTTGTACCACCGGAGAGTCCCCAGTAAGCTTGCCCGGACGAGGCAAGGCCGGTCGAAGATTAATGTCTAACCTTGGAGCCAAGGGGCATTTCGTTGCTTCGGCGTTAAGTGCGGTGTCAGATGGAGAGGGCCGTTCCAGGGAGACTGGTCGAGACGTCCTACTGTCTGCGCTCAGCAGAGGACGTGAGGATTTTACCAAGGGGGACGAAGAAGAGAAACTCTGCATCGTAGCGGAGTTGGTGGGTCCTGCAGGAGCAATAGCAGTGGGAAGTTTCACCGGCTCAGAGCGGGGTTTTTTGCAGGAGCTGGCAGAGGAACTCGGTGAGGCACAAATGACAGGAGACGGAAATGATGCGGCAGACAAAGCAGTTTCCGCTAATTTCGGAAGCACTCTTGGCATTGTGCTTATGGGGGACGCATTCTTCGTGGTTGGATGGGTGGAACTCAAACTGCCTGCGTTAGGATGAGTTGGTGGAACAATCGAGTAGCGAATCGGATGAACTGTGGACAGAGGGCCAGAGGTGGAGATATCCACTTTTGGCACCTCAAGATGCGTTGAGATAAGCTGTTGCACAGAGAAGAAATAAGCGAATCCGATCGGAATAACCAGAAGGGGCGGAATTAAATCGAAACAGAAATTTTAACATGTACTACAAACGATGCATGGATGTTTAGCGAATATGATACCAGGCGTACACAGCTTGAAGCTTGGTAAAACTACGGAGAGAGGACGGTGTGTGTATACACTAAATAGTAACGAACGAACGATACTTAGATTGCCACGAGAGCAGTTCCGTTTACCAGTCGTGGTTCCCACAATGAAGAAAGATGGACCAAATATGCATGGTATTGAAAAACAACACTTAGAAAAAAAGATTTCATTTTCCAAGAAGAGTATCGAAGCGAGATGATACAGTCGCAGATTCTGCTCACCTGAAGGTCAAATGGTGATCAACTGATGTGCAGTGCCCTGTCACGTTGAGTTCAGAGTGCTTACCAACTGCTCACAGGAGAATGAAACAAACTAGAGCTAGACTATTCGGACGGAAGAAGTCGAACGCAGTACAGGCAATCATGCGACTAACTTGACCCCAAGGTTGTGGTGTTGGATGGAACCATGGTAGCACGCTAACAGCAGTTGGAGAACTGTGAACGATGTATAAACTAAATTCAATGTGGAAGTGTTATGTAGTTTCGCAACGTATGTAATAAGTAACATCACTTTGTAGTTAATATTGTCATATGTAGTTCGGGCACGATTCCATGAGCGCGCTCGTGGATGGCTGACGGCCGAAAGGTCCGACCGCATTTGGCATGGAAAGAAAAGTTTTTAAATTAGTCGTAAAAATGGACAACTCTTGCAGTTCCTTATTTGAAACGGTAGTTGCTTCCACAGATGGGCGTACCTCACGAAATTTTAAGCGGAGATTTTACTTTGTGCTCTGTAAAGGTAGTAGACATTTCCCACTACGAACGGGATAGGTTGAGCCATTGTGTAATGCGACGGTCCTATTGGTTGAGCAAAGTTGCGAATATATTATGCTATAGAGAAAAGTGATCCTGATTTGCAGCCGTCAAAGCCAGAGTGAATCGAGCTGGAGGTGAGTACATCGCTACTCATAGGTAAGCGATGATGAGCACTCCGTGAGCATTTTGTAAATGAATGCTGGACGTTTTTCAAAGCAATTCTGTCTGTTTTACGTAAGCTGCTAAGTATGATGGTGCAATACTCTAGAGTGGGTCGCATAATGAGTTTGAGTGATTCAAATCGTGATTGGGATAGTGAAAATGACTTAGTGATGTAGCTTGTCAGTTGCTTCACATTTGCTACTTGATGTAGGATGTGTTCAAAGAAGATGAAGTTGCTGGATTATCGAGTTCCCAGATTTCAAAAGGAATACGTAGTTGGGATGGGAATGCCATCGAGAGTGATGGATCCTACTGGTATACTGCATCTGTGGTAGAGTATCTGAGACTTAGCTGCAGAAAACCTCATTGACTTGCTTTTGCTCCATTTGTTTAGGAATGACAAATCCTCGACAACCGTGATAAGTAATCTTGTGATCGAATGTACGTGGAAATTGTAGTCCAGTTATCACGGAAAAGTGCAAGACCACAAATGATTGTGACCGAATGGCATGCAGTGAAATTAGACCTCGAAACTGATTATTTATTCGATTCAAAGGTGCTCGAATGAGACATATCTTGCTGAAGTGTTGACTGGAGTGCAAGAGACGGTCGCGTTGAAGTGTTAGTGTCTGCAACACCTAACCAGGAGTGCAAAGAGTGAGTGGCAGCATTTGCGACTGTCAATATGACGTAGGAATGCCGTTTTGATACATTCAAAGCAGGGATACAAGCAAGATTCATACGAGTGATACTAGGGGAGGAATGCGGACGAGTGATCATTTTCATCAAAAGCAACATATCAGCCAGTTAAACGGATGCGTCAATGCTGTACAACCATGGTGAACTGTGGAACGAAGAACAACAACAAGGAAGGGGATCAACAATAAAACCATCATGCCTTGAACAGTCAAGGCGCCTACACCTTGTGTGAACAGCATACCGTCACAAACAGATGGTTATCATGCGAAGATAAGGCGGCATCGGCGTGACAGCTTCCTTGTGGCTGTAACTGTCTCGCATAATAGTTAGCCATTACCCCGCAGATGACTTAGCACCAAACAAACTTTAAACAGGCAATCCAACTAGGAGACAACTGGTGCCGACTGCGATTCATGTTTTGCAAAACGTTTCGAGCCAAGCACCTGGCGAATCATATGCACTCCAACCTGAAAAGCGAGACGGACCAACGACACCGAATTTGGTCACGCAGTGTTTCGGGTCAATACACATGCGCAGTTCGCCCGTCTTTTTCGCAATGATTGAGACCTAACCAACCCAGTCGGTTGTCTCGTCAAATTTTGAAACCATACCTTCCCTCGCTACCTTGCTCAATTCAGCGGAGAACCTGTCACGCAGTGTAAATGGATCACTCTTAACCGGTAACGCTGTCGGTTGTATCAAAGGATCTAAGAACAAGTGAGCGGCTCAAGCAAACTTTCCCAAAGCTAGGCTAAACAAAGACGGATAATGGTCATTAATATCGGTTTCTCCCTGGTAAGCATGCACAAAACGATCATGGTTAAAAACGACAAAAACGAGAGACTGGATCGGATCAATGACGAGAATCGGTGTGAGCTCCTCCTCTACGAGTACAAACTGTAGTTGATGTTGCACCGTCCCTTGGGTTAACCACTTCGATTATAGCTGAGCCCTTCGGATGAAGTCTGGAACCATTCCACATGCGCAGGCAATTTTGATCGGATGGAATGCACACGCCGAGACAGTGCTTCCTTAGTAGGATGTTGACAGTAGCTCCCCTATCTAACTGGAATCGTACAGCACCGAATTCAAGCAAAAAACTTGCGTGGACACATTTTTGTGATAGCCT